GCCAGGTAGGCTCCCCACATCAGCTTAGCACAGTACCTCATTAATGCCAGGTAGGCTCCCCACATCAGCTTAGCACAGTACCTCATTAATGCCAAACAAACAAGTTATTTCACTGAAAGGAGGGTAAGAAATTGTCAGAAATTCATTCTTCTGCTTCAGGGTTCTGCCAGGTGCCTGTTAGCTATTAGTTATGAGGGGTGAGGTGGCATTTCTCCTTCTGCCAGTGTTTAACCATCCCACACAGTGCCTGTTGGGTATGCTGAACTGTGTATAAAACAAGACTTCCAGCTGCCTTCTGCAGTGATGGGGAAACTGGACCAATGACTGAAAGGTCACAGAATTACAGGAAGGATCTTGTGCCAGTTGTCAAAAAATAAAACCAGAAAAAAGGGCATTGTGACGTATATCGCCATTTATTTGGCTTATTTATAATGTTTAATATGTATAATTTAACATAAGGAAATTGAGCGAATAGGAGTAGCATAATATAATGTTCTGCTAGGAGAGACAGGAGCTCATTTGCCATTACAAGAGTTTACGTTTCTTCCTTTGAGTTTGCTTGTGTGTCATTTCACCATGTTTGTTACTTTGCTTTTTTGTTCTCCTTAGTGTAAAAATATAGCCTGATGCAAGATCTTCTCATGAGTGTTTCCATCAAATCATGAAACAACCCTTTTATTGTTTTTCTTCTTTAACACATAACATGCCCCCCTCTGACCCTCATTTTTCCTTTTTTCTCTCTTCTCTTTTCTCTCCTGCTCCACCTGTGTTCCCTCCTTCCTGTTCTGACCTTTTTAACCCCACTCCTCTCGTGGTCTACTCCAATCCCCCCTCTCCGTGACTTAACCCTCTTCCCCTCGTCTCCCTGAACTCCTCCTCCTTCATTTGCAGCTTAGAACTGGCAAAAGTCAGCACCCCGACTGCTGCTGTCACGACCCCTGTTGACCTCAACATGAGCCTCTCTCAATCCACCCCCCATTGTTCCACCCCCTCCTCTATGGCCGTCCTGGCAGCCGCCGCTGTTTCTGCCGCGGCCAGCGCCACATCCCCTCCCGCCCTGCCCACGTTACCCAGCACCCACTACGCCGTGCCCGTCTCCAGTCTGCTTGGCATGAAAACCGTCCCGCTCCTCGCGCTTAATGCCGCGGCGGCAGCCTCCAGTGCAGCGGGGGGATTGTCAACATATACCACCAAAATCCCAACCACTGCCGCGGTCAAGAAATCAGACCGCCAGAAGTTTGCTCCATACTGAGAAAAGATGATTAACACTTTTGTTTCATTTTAACCCCTAATATGAAGCTCTGGGTAGACTGTAATTTCATGCACTATTATATAAAAAAAAAATTCTAAATTGTGTCCATGTGTTAACATGTTTGAAACCTAATTTTTTCCTTTGTAAACTGACTTCTGATAAACAGAGAGATGTTTCCAACAGCTCAAGTTATAAGTGTAAAACAAACAAATCTTTTGTGTAATAGTCATAAACATGAAGTCTTCCACACTAAGCCATATTACATACATACATTAATAAGTCTCTTTTCTCAAGACTAATCAAAAGCAATTTTACACAAGAATCAAACACACTTCTGTCTAGCTTACTGCCAACACCTTCAATGCATGTTAAAGCTGATATCTTTTAACTTTGAGCTATTGCACCTATTATTCCACTATAAAATTTAAATCACAGACAAGAAACTGAAGATTAAAGATTAAAGTACCAATGACAGTATGAACAAATGGCTGTAATTTCTTGAACGTTTGCTAGTCACAGTATGAAACTTTCTGTCACTAACCCCAGTCATCATTAACTTAATGTCTCTAACAGCAACACTGTAAAGAGGTGGTGCTCTGTGTTTCATTTTCAATTGGTTTGTTTTGTGTTTTTGTTCCTGCATGACACCTTCCTTCACCACTTCCAGCTCCAATGTCACTTTTACAAACATCCAAATTAACATAGCACCGGGCAGACCGAGGCATCGTTAGCGTAGCGAAAGACGAGGAGACTTACCTGCTGTAACGGAAAACGCTTGTTGTTGTAGTTCTTGACAGGACTGCAACTGGCACTCAATGAACCCCAAACCCGCCTCATACACACAGCGGAAACACAAGGCGGTCAGGCGCCGAACTGTACAGTGCACACACGGTGGGAGATTTATATAAGCTACGAACACGACAGGATCAGACAGGGTACATGCTTAACACGGGCCAACGTACACGTCACGATCGGGAAGTGTTGGAGTAGGCCGTCTCCACCGGGTCCGTGGATGAGAACAGATTCACAGCTGACACGGGGAGAAGTTGCAAATCAACGGTTTATTGGTAGGGGCCGCTGAAATTCTCTGTCGCCCCCCCCCTATCTGTTCCGATTAGGTAGCCTTGCCTTGCCGGCGCGCCAGTTAGTTCTCGTTTTGATTAGTTACAGCCTTATAGAATCATTCCCTTTATTTCCCCTTATAAAATTATTCCCTCAGAAGGCAACTATAACACCAACAATATAAAAAGGGCTATTTACGATTCCCTCTCGAGCATGCCGGTGCTACAATATTTTGAATGAAACCCAATCGTTTTTGGGACACTATTAAGCTATAGAAATTACTTTTGGAAAAGATATAAAAACAGAACTGAAGGGTTATATGTGGGATGAATAGTTAGGTGAGCCAAATAAAATACAATTATGCATATGGTGACTATATAACTATCAATTGATTACACCCGAGTAGTTCCCCAACCTTCCTGTACCCCAAAATATCTATCCCCTTCTGCATTTTAAATATGTATAACCTCATTCTATTTTATTTTTAACCTATCTTTAACCAAAATTGCAAAAGCAATATCCAGCTACTAGTGACCTCTAGTGGTATTTTTTTATTAAGCAACTAAATTCTAATAATTGCATACATTAGTTCTAAACTGTTAGCTGTATTACTGTGATTAATCTCCTTTTAACTCTGAAGTCCTATTGGCTTGTGCTGTGAAATAAAGTATTTTTCATTCTTCCCTTCATACACACCAAAAACACATCAAATTACATTTACTGTACATTCACATTTATCCATTTAGTGATTTACTCTTCTGTTTTAATGTAAATAAAATCTGATAACTGGACAGTTGAGTGTAAAGATACTTATTTTTCTTAACAGAAAATAACATTAATTCTTTAACAAAACCAAGTTTATCCATTTCACAACACTGATATGGAAAAATGCTTATTCTGCTCTGATGTTTACGGTATATATAGAAATACTGTTATAATATCCACTGTAGACAGTTGTTTCGTTTCATATTACATAATGAATGTGATAATGGTAAGCTTTTATATTTTAACAAATCAGTAAATAATCTGGCTGACGATTAACAACATAATGACAAAGGATGAATAACAAAAGGCGTAAGAGAGGCTCAGGCTTGAGATGGGCCACGCCTGGAGCTGACCTGGCATTCATTCAGAGCTTGTTGGAAACAGTTCTCCCAATTCGAAGTTCATCTTTAATTGACTTTGTATTTATGCTTGTGCTTCACACTATCTTTTGGATTTTTCCCCCACCTACTGCTGCCATCCTATTCAGCCACAACCGATGCCCCCTATCCACCCCCAACACTGCTTCCCCACACCAGCGGTCGCACCCGATGCCCCCTATCCACCCCCAACACTGCTTCCCCACACCAGCGGTCGCACTCGATGCCCCATATCCACCCCCAACACTGCTTCCCCACACCAGCTGAGAGCTGCACACATGCCTGCACCAAGCATGTCTGCAGCGTAAAGCTGTTATGAAGTGATGCACATGCAATAAGTTAAGCAAGGAATATATTTTGTGTTTTACTGCATATTGTAATATAATCTTTGTCCCATATATCATATATAAATGCACTACCACTGTATAATGTATATAACCACATTCATCTGGTCAGACTTCATCAAATGAAATTGCACTAAAATTATTTAATTCTCTGTTCTACCCCTCAACAGTATCACATTACTTTCAAAAGTATTGACAAAGCACAGTACCCCATAGCTTCTTTGAAATTGTGCATATTTGTTGTCCTTATCTCTGTGAAGGGACGAATAGTAAGAATTGTCCTGCTCTTTGTTCTTCTCTGGTTTTCTCCTAACTTTAGGCTGTCTTCTGAAGTGTCAGGCCTGGGAGCTCTGTAGCTCTACGGCTGCTGTCAGCAGATTAGCGTCCCGAGGGGCAGTTTCTAAGCCACATGGGCTTCCTATGGACTTCATATGCTGTGAAGAATTCCTGCCAATCATTCGTCTCCCAGACGATTTTTCACTCAAGTCAAAGTCCGATCCTCTTTAAGCAAATGTGCTTCCTGATCTGTGTTGTGTCATTTTCTTAAACGGTTTTGTTTTCCTTGGTCTAGTTGGGGCCATGGCTCAGTTTTTGTCTCTTTGTAAAAGCATGAGCTTCTAGTTATTCAGGTCCGAATCTTAAATTTTGTCTACATTACTAAGCAAAATTAAATGATGATTTTTATAAGTGAAGCATTCCTGGGATGACATTTGTTGTTGTTTTAATCTTCAGTTTTGAAGCTGGTGTACCTTCTCTGGACCTACTCAATGGACTCAGTGTGTTACAGTTCCACCTGCAGCTGTATTTTATTATTATTATTTTTTTTTTAAATAAAACTTGCATTGGTATGTTTTGCTGCTGTATAAACACGCAGTATATTTACTGAGCTTCAGGGAACTTTTCAGTACTTGTACAGCTGTGCTGTAAAAATGGATACACCTAATAAATCTGAATCAGTATTACACATGCTGCGACATCTTTTATTTCTACATGATGATCTGGGTCTAGTTCCAAAAAATGGAAATGAATCAAGTACTAACTTGATTCATTATCACTGTTGTGATAGTACTTTAATAAAATACTGTAGAATAATGTTTTATTGATTCCTCTTTTTGCCAACCTCATGCTGCTCTCCATGAGACACACTCATTATAGCAGGGCCGCCACCTACTGTGCCTATAGAACTGGGGACTGAGGACACTGCTCAAGGGCCCACAAACAGATGCCTATTCTACCAAGGGTGGGCTTAAACTAGCAGCCTTCCGATCACAGGCACAAAGGTTTAGCCTGCTGAGCCACACACTGCAGCCTAAGAAACAGCTGAGGCTGGTTTGAGGCTGGACTCTGGCCTCAAATCCACAATAGTGTGGGATGCACAGCAAGCAGCTGCCCACTGCCTGTTTGAAGCCATTCTGCAAGGTCATGCCGCATAACAGGGCATTACGCTAGAATCCCCACCATGCATGATCAGAAGACTAGGGCACATCAATCAGACATATATTCCAGTATTTCATATTACCCACACTGCTGATTCCATCTTCCATGTCACTTACATAGACTGCAAACTACTGACAATCCAGTCAACAGATCAGCTTAGTCATTCCATACTGCTTTGTGACACGGGAAGTGGGCATGGAAAGTGCCCCCCTCCTCCCCAACAAAGCAGCCAGGCAGTGTTTCAAAAGACAAACAAAAAAAATCTTTAATACAGTGACATTTGGGCAGGAGGCCTCATCAACACTGGATATTCACATTTAGAAATGTACAAAAAGCTAGTGCCTAGTCACCCTGTGTGGCTGACCAGTGAGGAAGGATGCAGTTAGACATTAACATTCAGGGTTTTTGGTCATGGTAGGTAAAGAACAGGGCTCTGACGGCTTAAGGTGGTTTAGTCATTTGAGTACGGTCTTGAGGAGCTCAGGGAAGAAACTTGAAATCAAACTTTCTCATAATTAATCTAGAAAATATATCTGCTTAATCCTGTTATCTAAATCAGGTTCAAAGCATCTTGCTAAATCATAACAGCTGAAGCATTTAGGAGTTTAGGACTGCACTCCTTCTGCCCCACACAGGGGCAACTGATCAGATTCGGTTTTAATAGTTTATGACTGCACTCCTTCTGCCCCACACAGGGGCAACTGATGAGATTGGGTTTTAATAGTTTAGGACTGCACTCCTTCTGCCCCACACAGGGGCAGCTGATCAGTTTGGGTTTTAACAGTTTAGTTCAGCACTCTTTTGGCTCTCCAGTCACGAGACAGCAGACTAAAAAGTTCCTCCTCATCCTCCTCCTCTTCCTTGTCCCCACTGCTCCTCTGTTCCTGCTGCGGTTTCGAATCCACCTGCCCCATGTTCTTCATCACTTCCCTTCTGTCCCTGAGTAACTCTACTCGCCGGTAACACTCACTGTGAAGATGGTCAAACACAGTTCAATGAATCAACTCTTTTGCATCCCCGAGTGTCTGTAAGACTCTCGGTGAACACACGCTCACGCTCGAACTCACACTCACACTCCTCTCCGTACAATCTCTACAGGATTACTCACATCTGCTCATCAATCTCGTCAATCTGCCGCTCCAGACGACCATCCTCATCCTCCTCAGCAACAATAGCTTCAGAGGCCTGTGATGAAGGTACCCAGGTGAGGGACAGGTGTAATGACCATGTTCTACACGGGGGGGCACACACATGCCAGTCTCTAGCAGGTGTGTATGCTGCATTTGGGCTGACATATACAATTCAGTGTGTAACCTGCTGAAAATGTGTTATTGTAAATAAATGTAAATAAATGCAGGTCAGGGGGAAATGGCTGGCAGAGGGCTGTTCTTCATCAGCGCTCACGGAGAGCGCCTGTCCCCTTACGCTATTCACGTGCCGCATTTCCTTCTGAAACTCCTCCCACTCCTTGTCCATCAGGTCTTTGGGGGCATCCACCTTGCGTACCTGAAATCAATGCAATGAAGGTTTTTTTTTTTATTCATAATAATCAATATTGTTTACACTCTTTTTTTTACCACTGTCAAGTTCATATTCTTTTAAGTGGGTTCAGCATAATTATTCCAATACTCGCTGTACTGTCCCTCTCACTACTGACTATAGCAGCACTCTCCAAGGACCCATTCATCATGCTGTTAAATTATTTATACCCATGGAGCTGGCCCCAGAGATTCATAATAATGCAGGAATTAAGGTGCAGGCTCCTCTCAGGCTGAACTGGTTAAGTTCAGATATCTAAAAGTTTAAATACTGTATAGCAGAGTAATATCTTTCAATCTTCCATAATAATACAGTAGAACTTGAACGCCTCTTAACTCAATTGCCGATACCAATACAGATTCCGATATAAGAGCTCTTTTTACTTTGTTATACTTTATATATATTAATTTTTAAGCTAGTAAATACAGATGGAAAAAATGTGACAAAAATATTTAGACTACTACAAACATACATAACGTACTGTTCCACCTCGTTTGTTTTAAGCGTTTCTGAGGCATTTGCAGTTCAATATGAATATCTTCAAAGCAAGTATACACAAGTGGTGAATGCTTAAAATTTTAACACAGTTTTTCTCCAATTGGCGTCAGCGCAGTTACACTTTTGTTGCAATGGCAGCCCCTCTTGTATCACAAGCTACAGCAAGTTTGCAAAACAGTCTAATTAAGTTAGCGACTCCCAAATCATCCATTGCTTTGTTTTGTCTCGCACAGTTGCGTGCGCTTTGTTAAATGGGATTGTCCATTAAATGCTATTCCCACCTCAAAACTTTATTTTACATTAGATTGCAAATCGCTGTGCTACTGGTTTCTGTTAAAAGCGTACCAGCAAACCAAAGCATAAAAGGGAGAGTAACTGGAATTTAAAAAGGAAATTATAAAGAGACTGGTACACATATGTCTGCCCTCGCTTCAGAGCATGGGATTGTCATTTGTTTCATGTTTATTGCTTTTGCATGTGTGCTTTTTCATGTGTGTTTCATATTGATTGTTAATGCTTTTTGTCATTAGGTAGGTAGATAAGTTTAAATAGGCAATCATTTGAGGGTCTGGAACAGAATAAATTAATTTACATTGTTTCTTATGGGGAAATTTGACTTGGTCCTCGATCAAATCGCATTCTGGAATGAATTAAGTTCGTGTTACAAGATACCACTGTATCATATAAAACAAATACATCTCAAATGGCCGCAGTCACAGAAAATGGTTTAATATGTCTGATGGCAGACTGGCAACAAATGTGGCGTTGCTTGACATAAATACATTTGACATGAAACAGCTATAAAGCAAATAAAAGATGCAGGAGACTATAATGAGAAACACAAGAACATCTGCAGAAAGACACGTGAGGGGAGCAGATGTCTGGGAGTATGATGCTAATTCAATGCTCCTCTTTTTGTTCTTTGAACAGAACCAACTGAGCTAATAATAGACTAATAATCTCAATTTCAATTGTAGATAAAGTTCCAATAAATTAGTTCAAATTATCAGCGCTTGTGACACAATAACATTCTAAAGGACAGTCAGCAGTGCTCTAAGCAGACTTCAGATCTGATTTTTTGACAGCAGGGGAATTGGGAGAATGATCTGAATTGCCCCAAATCCTTTCGATAATGCTCACATTATTATGCAAAATAAAAGACATATTTTACCTTCGCATCTACCACCGGATCATCAAAAAATCCCTCAGGCAAGGCTTCAGCCGTGTTCTCCTTCCTGTAAAGGTACAAAGGTCAAACCATCACTATATGCTCAGAGTCAGATAAGATAGCCAGAAATTAGAAGTAGAGTGTATCCTCACAGAGTGAACTAAAATATGTGGTAACGCTTTAATTAGCCATACCTTCATAATGCATTCATTATATGTTCACAGAACTTTCAGTGTGCTTTCTTAATGCATTCATAGAACATTCAAAAGCAGCAATTAAGTATACCATAATATCCAAACATACCTTAACAACTTTAATATACATTAATAACAAATATTATACAACTATGTTGTTTGTCATCATCATATAATATGTGCTATTAATGTATATTAAAGCTGTTAAGGTATACTTACATGCTGCTTATAAATGTTCTATGAAGACATTATGAAGGTGCCATTAATGTAAAGCATTACAAAATATGCTTACCCAAACACGCGTGTGCGTGCATGCATGCGCGCACACACACACCAGATCCATCTTCCATAATTAAGAACACTGAATACTGTCCCAAACCATACCTTTCCACAGGCTTCTCTGGTTCATCTACTTTCAGAATGGATCCTGAGTGAGAGACGCCAGGGACACTGGGAAGACCACTGTCAAAAAAGTCTGGGCAGTACACACACATATATATATAAATATAAAAAGAAAAACACCAATTACCCCAGAGTTACGATGTTTTTTTTATTAGCTAAACTTCTGATACTTTTTCCAAGTGAAGGGTTGGTCTGTTCCACTGCATAGTACTGTGTAAGTGATTGGCTCATCCATGCCAATAATATTCCATTACTGTCATCTAAAGCAATGTTATGTATCAGAACTATAAATGACTGTCCTATATAAAATTACCTGCTGGGAGTCCAGGTGTGGTGGATGGAGGCAAGACAGCAACGTTCTGCTTTGCTTGCTCTTCATCACCACTAGCATCATTGTCATCATAGTTCCCAGCTAGTAAACCAAGCCCTGATGGTTTTTTAGAGCCTGCAGTATTCTGCCCCTGTCCTCCATCAAAGAAGTCTGCAGGAATCCTAGAGAATGGCAGCAGAAAATGCACATGCACACAAATATCTGATTCAGAGCAACCATATTAAACCCAGGACATTCACAGAAACATTTACCACTCACTACAAAAATTTACAATGCAACTTACCTAACATCACAATTATTTCCAAACAACAGCATAGATTGAGTTTCACATTGGGTGGGACACAACATAATAATTCAAATGCAAAGGTCTATTTATTGGGCAAATGAATGAAGCCAAGTTAAATGTTGGGGATACGTCCCACCCACTTCCTATGCCCGTGTTTCTATTTATTCTACTAAAAAAACAAACACTTAAATACAAGAGAAATCAAATACATGCACATAATGTCTTCAAAACTCACCCTGACGCAGATGATGAACCCTCTGCTTTACCTGCAAGGTAATTGTGTAAATCAAATGTTCTCTACAGAACAATTTAAATTTTGGCAAGAACTGCTGTGAAACTAAGAATATTTCAGATAAAAATGCTTAATATATTCCTGTTTCTCAGCATAAACACAGAATGGAGACAGTGTTAATTCATTAACCATACATAAATAAAGCATACGTCTCTTTAGGAAATATTTAGATCCACATTGTCCATGGCACAAATAGATTACCTTTTTTTGCTGTAGGCTGTTGGGAGTCTGATGTCTTTCGTTTCAGCACAGAAGATGTAGGATTCTGATTAACTGAAGCAACAATCTGACCTTGTTTTGTTCCTTTCAGTTCAGCCACTTTCTGTATTAAAACAGACCCAAAGGTAACTGAGAACACTGTGTAACAAACACCTTACTAGCAGATTAAATATACTGCTACCCACCAACAACAAATGGCACAAGTATGCTAGTAAACAAACGATCAACCACACTGCTACACAGTTTGGGTTCTTTTGCACAGACGTAGCTAGGCTCTCTTGAAAACTCAGATGCCACTGCATTTCAGATTTCCCTTTGCAACAGGCATTTGACACAGAGCTAGCTGTAAATCTGAATAATATGCCTCTACCACATATTTTGATATCAAACAAACCTCTTTGTGTGGTTTTCCCAGGACGTGAGTTTGCCATAATATTTCAGACTTGACCGGAATATTGCAGAGCACACAGCTCAGGTGTCCAAGGCTGTTGTACGTGAGCGACAGAGGTTAAGGTCAATAAATGTAAAATCCGGAATCATTCGTTAAAAACCATTAATAGAAAACATTACAAGGGCAATGTAGTTGATCTAAGACCTCGGCCATAATTCTATCTTTCGTATGGCTTATCCAGCACAGGGTCGCCATGAGCCTTTAATATATCCGAGGCAGCACAGGGCATGAAGCAGGGAACTCCCAAGAAGAGATACCGGCCCACATCGGGACGCACACACAACAATACACTATGGAGAATTAAAATATGAAACACTAAATCGAAAAGAGCCAGCAGGTAAACAAGACATAGCTCACATGGCGACTAGAAACAATACGCGAGCTACCGTCAGGGCGCATAATAACAACATAAGGATATTTTGCAAAGGGTGATTCGATGCGTTTCTTTTTGCCGGTCGTTTCTTTCTGTTTCTCTTTCATGAGCCGCCGCAGCTCCTCCTGACTAACCGATTTCTTTCCCTTGTCGTTTCGGGAAGACGCCATTATTTCGGATGTAAACAGGAATTTAGTTCCGGTGTAGAAGTCAAGCCTCGAAACCGAACTTTTATTTTGATACAACAAGCGGAAATACTAACCGGAAGTCTCCCCTTTATTTTTGGCAGCTTCACACTACTCTCACAAGTGTTGTAACACCACTGTTGGTGGATTGTATGAACTGCTCTCATTCGCCTTATTTTCTAGGTTATCTGATATAAACATTAGTTTTACATACTAATCGGTTAAATATCCACGCCCCGAATCTCTCACTTTCTACCTTCGTACATACAGCTTTGTGAATGACATATTTGTTAAGGTTTTGGTTAGCTAAAATGATTTAACCGCTATCTAAACGTCTTATTTCTGAATATTATAAACATACATTAAGATATCAAAGATGGCACAGTGGTCTTACACCTCCAGCGGTGTTTAGATTACTGCTCCTGGCTCTGTAGGTTTAGCTTTTGCGTGTTCCGGTTCCCCCAGCTTACTCGGGTTTTCTGCGTAAAAAGGTATGGTCGATATGTAACGAAATAGCTGGATTTGCCGACAGATGGTGGTATTGTGACATTTGCAGCTTAAAATATTGTTGGACAGTTTTCGTTTCAAACGATAAATTGTTTTATTTTTATATTAAAAAAACACCCTTTAGACTTTTCAGTTGTGAATATTTTATCAGTTAGGCCTTTTTTACTTTTGCCGGAGGATTTTTATTAATTAGATTTTTAGGAGCAATATCATTTTTCACTAATAATTTGAAAGTATTTTATACCAAAGTTGGACACAATGGTTAGCAGTTGCACGCCTCCATGGTTGTGGATTTGATCCTTTTCCTGGGTCTTTGTGTGTATGGACTTTGTATTGTCTTCTCATGCCCCTTCTGTGTGTGTGTTTGTGTGTGTGTGCAGTAATCATGAATATATTACATTGTAACCTATGGTTAAGGTTGTCATTGTTGGAATTAGGGTTATGCCCATAGAAATTAATGGATCGTCCTCATAAAGATAAGATGTGTGCGTGTTCCATGTAATTGACTGACTTGGCATTTTGGTTTGGATTTCTGATTACACAGCAACTGTCTAATTGTCTTAGCGCAAAACTCCAGTATAATATTTTGAGCATGGTGATTTTATGCATTTCATCTTCTTTCTGGTCATCTTTTCTGAGTAGCTTACACTCCCTGGGAGAGACTCCAAGCAATGCTACAGTACATTAGATAAGTGGTTCTGTAAATTGGAAAGGGGGAATATTTTACACTCTTGGCCAAAGTCTGTGTTTCTGCAACCATTGATTGAATGGCTGACTAGATGGAATTTTTCAGAAAGGAACAAAATGGAATATATGCAGTTAATACAAAGGTGAGCTGTTGCAGACATTAAAAGATATTTTATATATTCAGTGAGAAGGTACACTTAATTTTGCACTATAGAATTTTAGATGCCTACTTCAGGTGTCGTTTTCAATTAATCATTGTCACAGGTTCACTTAGGGCTCCAAGTGAAAAGTGATGCACCATTTCAGGGTCAAGACATTGCAAAATGTGTGGCAACCCATGTATAATCAGCATATCAATATGACGATAAATAAAAACCAAGCATACAGAGGTGGATAGTTCAGGTCCAGAAAGTAAAAATCCAGACTAAGATTTTGTTTCAACTAGTTTAGTACTTGGTGACTGTGACTCTTTATGCTCACCTGGTTGGTTGAAACAAAATCTTGGTCTGGATTTGTACATTCTGGACCTGAACTATCCATCTCTCCAGGGAAATCTTCTAAAGTTCTAAAGATATTCTACTGTTACTGTCCTAGCTCTGCTAGGTAAATACACACAAATTTATTTTCTTTAGAACTGTATACCAATAGCCTTACCTTTTATTTATAACCTAAGTACCTATGTGATGTTTGATGTCCTGAGTTGGGTCTTTGGTCTTTCCATGTTCACAGTGGGCTTGGACGGCCTAAGCCTGTGTCTTTGCACACTGTCCCTGGGCTCTGAATGTCGTCAATAGACTGTATCTTTGTGATGAAGACCAATACTCTGTTGAAAATCATTATTCATTAAACCCATTCATGCATGGTGTACACATTCGCAGACAGCTGATTTAAGGCTATTTTAGGTAAATGTAAAATCCTACTACTCACTGGGTTTGTGGAAAAGCTCAGTCAGGGACAGTTAGGTCTTACCTATGCTTTCATGGAAAACAAAATCAGTGCTGCCTGTAAGACCCAGCATGGTAGGAACACACTGGCCAAGAAGTGGCCTCACCAAGAATACTGTCAGGTGTTGTTATCAACTGTGCCAAAGAATGATGTTCATGAATGAGCACGGCATACTAAGAAACACATCGTAAGTCTTTTTAATCAGTTGTGTTTTATGGAGTCTCGGCCTGATGTAGTTTGCCTTGCACATGTGATCAGATTGGGAGTGACAGATTTTAATGGACATGGCACAATGAACCTCTATAATCATCCCCTTAAGGCCTAGGGTACTATAGACAGTCTGCTTTGTAATGTCATTGGAATCACCGATTATTCTAATTGGTGTAATTGCCAAGAAGGAAAAGCAACCCATATTTATATAAAAATGCATGAAAATTCAATTGTCAGAAGTAAACATTGAAATCCGCTCTGCCTAAACCAGTGAGACTGTATTCTGCATTGTGCACGATGGGACCCATGATGTGCAGCTTAGGAAGAGCAGGTTCATATCTTCCTTTGGCCTTTCAGTGATGCTGTTTTTAGAAATATGCCATGGCAGCCTCAGATGATCCGGAATAGCCCCCGGGAGTCACAGGCTTTCTTTCTTCAAATTTATTTGTAATCATTGCATGTGTAACTATCAGTTCATAGTTTTAAGTTATATTTTTAATATAAATTCTTATATGAAATGTATAATTTTTATGAAGTGGTCATTGAGTCAGAATCTGCAAAAGTGACACTTCATTCTCTGCTAGCTGAATGTTTGCTGATAATCTGCAGTGTGCATGTGTGTTATCCATATGCACTCTGCCTCTGTCTTATTGATCATCCTTTACCTTCATTCTTCATCTGATTCTCATTGTGAATGCAGGAGCCGTATTGATCCACTGCCATGCATGGGCCAGGCATACAATTTCCTAAACATTTGTGATTTCTTAAAGCTATTTTAGGGCAAAAAAATGAATGGTGAGGTCATGCTATAAAACGTTTTTACTTAAGCACTTTTGAAAAACATTTGCAGCTAGCAAGGGATGTGTCTATGTCCAGAAAAAGTATCTGCTGAAATATTTATGAAGCAAAATTAAAAATGGATAAGTTGTTCCTTCTCTATTGATGAGAAGTCATGGCATTATATTGTCAGATCACTCTGGCATACGGTAGCAAACAAAAATATATGATATGGGGATTTGGCAGTTAATAACATTTTTGGTTGATAGGGTTTCCTTTTTAGCGTGACAGGGATTAGGTAGATAGGGGATTGATATAACACTGAAAGTAAACATGAAGAATGAAGATTATACTGTTATACTGAATCAAAAGCAATGAGGTATTGGGATCTGTCTGGGGTCGAAACCAGAGCACATCGTACCTAGCATACACACCTGAGGCATAATTATGGAGGACATCCTGGACAGGTCAAACTGAGGTCACAAGCCCATCCGTTACGCTCACCAGTTTCTTGTTCCCTATCCTTATATAAGACAGAACCTTCTATTCTCTCCCTGCTGGATACATGCAGACCCTGATTTTGTTCTTTTGTACCTGCCTGCCCCCCACCACCAGCCTGCTTGCACTGAAATGACTCTTTTGCTTTCCTTGCTCCTCACACCGTATTTTATATTGTGCCCCCTCCCAGCCCTAAATGCCCCTACGCCTTACATTCTCATGCCGCATCATTCTGGCTGCTGCCCTGCATGGCAGAAGTTTTCCAACCTATAATCTAGAATCTCTGAAACAAGGGCAGGTGCAGTAAATTACCTGCAGCAATCATGGTAACCAGTAATTACCTGGGGAAGGCAAACAAAAGAATCAAAGTTATGTATTGCTTTTGGAGTTTTGGCAACCTGGCTTGTAAATGATGACAGCATTACCTGCACAACCAGTAAGAGTTTGATTGGAATATCCATAATTTTTAATTTCCTCAAGTTGACCTCATTCTGTTAATAAGTAGGTACAGATAACAAATTTAGAATTTTTTCACTAACTTTGATCTCTCAGTTTAAAATTAAAGCTTGATGTCAGTCACTCTGGACCCTAATGAGCCTGTGGTTGCAGGTTGTTCTACCTTTACATTCGGAAGTATTGATTCACTAATTATTAAAGACTTTAAAGTCTCTTATACGGGTGTGTTGCTGAATGCCAAAAGATTTCAAAAGAATACTGAGTAGGGACCATGGGTTTTCTACATTTGCACTTCCAATGAAGCCTGACAAATTCACCTTCCTCAGGTGATGACACCATCAGAGCTGATGATAAAGACTAAATGGGACATATGGATTGGCAGAGTAAGACTATAAAAGTTCTATCTTTGATTTGCTTGTGTTCTCAGATTTGTTCTTCCAGCTCTATGATCATTTCCAGCAAGGTGTTAGTTTTACACCTATTAGATGTTAAGTTAGAGCTGAAGATCAAAGTCCTACTAAATCTTGTCAGGAAAAGGACCAGGCTAAAGACAGACCAAGGAATGTCACTTCTGCAAGCACAATACTGTTATTCTGCTGCCTACTCTGTAAATTCTTTTATATTTTTATACTGTTTTAGTTTTGTAATTTGTTTTTATTCTGATTGTTCTTATTCGTTGTGTAATTTTGTGCGGTGTCCTTGTGTGCTTTGAAAGGCGCCTTTAAATAAAATGCATTATTATTATTATTATTATTCTGCAGGTTCCCTCAAACATCCAGCCGCGCATGTCTGTGTAGGTCTGGAAGCCAGCACTACAGTCATTGCGTTTGACTTGTAAGTCTGCCGCTTTTCATAATCTCCCTGGTGCTCACTTAAGTTCGATGTTTCTATGTTAACGGGACAAAGATTGGCCTCTGTACTTCTGCCGGAGCACCTGCCCCCATTTCGAAATGAGATTGACCCATTTTGGATAAGAGACTGAACTTTTAAGCACAGTTGTAACAAAAGGTAGTCAGCTTCATGATCCAAAACAGCAAACTATAGCACATCTCATCCATCTATCAGATTTGTATCGCTTGCATTGTACTGTTTCTGTATTAGTAATAAAACAACACTCTAATGGGGTGGTAAGTAACCTTAAGGGTTGGGGTTCAGAATCCTTGTCCAAAAGGTGATGGTAACAGTGTTGGGGCCTTAAGTGGAGCCCATGACCGTTCCTGTGGTCCAGGATGCCGGTGCAGATCCTAAGACAAGCTTTTGGCAATATATACATCTGTCGCTCTCATGGAGAAAAAGAGGGAACATGTGAAGGCAGCCCCTTTCCGCATAGAGATGAATAAAGTACGACTGTTATACTATGAATCCTTTCTGGTGCCAAGCAGTGGCGTTT